TTTTGGAGAAACAAAGCATTTTTCCCAAGTATGTTTTACCCAACTAATACCCACTTTGCCAGAAGGGGTAACTGAGGAAAAAGAGAGACCCTATCCAAGGTAAAAGTGGAAAAGAATTAAGATTTTCATTAAGCCATTGGACAGCACTTGATTTTGTGAAATCAATTCATACATATGCCCATAGGCATTTCCTTGCTAATGTGTCAAGTGGAGTTGATTATGTGTAATCCGATTATCTCTGTAAAAATATTGCTCTCCTAGGTTGTTCTTGAGAGAGTACATGTAAGAAAGCATTTTATTCATTTTAGAACATTCCCCTGGTATCTGCTACGATACAACAGACCTACAAGCACGTGCATGTGCACACACACAACCCAGTGGGCTCTGTGTTCACCAAAGAAGCCCCCTTGCAAAAATGCCCCAGAGGGTCCAGCACTGTATTTCTCTCAGCTATAAACATTGTGTGGGTAAATCTCTATGTGAGGATACTGCATACATAGGCCTTTCTCATGAGAGCGCAATGTCATTCTTCATTGTCAGAAAACAGGTGCATTTCTGAATGATGGTACTGACATCTGACTTGTGTTTTCCAAGTCTTCTCCCCCTGCTCTCAGTCCTAAAGTGGTTCTGGGGCACAAGCCTTCTGAAGACGAACCTCACTGTAGAAACTGCTCTAAGTGAGGGGTTAAGAAAGATCCTGAAGCATCAGTAAAAATGATCCTCAAGTAATGAGGCAGAGACAGCCCATGCTCCAAAGCTCATGGGGCCTTAAGAACAGTTAAGGCAAAAGAGACAGTGATAACCCTGAATTCTGGGTGCCTGGGAGGCCTGGTGAGGCTCAGATGGTATGCTGGCAGCCTCCAGGGGACATGATACCTTGTCCTTGGAGCTGAGAGCCAACTTTGGCTCCCTACCTCAGTCCAGGCTTGGCAGTCACTAGCAGCATGGTGAAAGAACGTCATGACCCACTTTATGAAACCCTCTGTGACTCTGGCCAAGAGCCCACAGCAAGGGTGGAGTGGGGTGAGGGGTGTTGGTCCAATAAAATGGTGGGAGGAAATGGGGAGATACAGGTTGGGGGGTAGGAAGCTGCAGAGGTACAAGATGAGTAAGTCTAGAGATCAAAGGCACAACATTAGGACCGTAGTTCTGATATTATGTTGTATACTGGAAATTTGCCAAGATAGTACATATTAGGTGCTCTTACCACACACACACACAAAGTTAACTATGCACTTTATATCTTTATATCAATGTTAGATCTGTTAAGGGGTAGGAAGCTGCAGAGGTACAAGATGAGTAAGTCTAGAGATCAAAGGCACAACATGAGGACCGTAGTTCTGATATTATGTTGTATACTGGAAATTTGCCAAGATGGTACATATTAGGTGCTCTTACCACACACACACACACAAAGTTAACTATGCACTTTATATCTTTATATCAATGTTAGATCTGTTAATTTGCTTGACTACAGTAACCATTTCACTGCATATAAGTATATCAAAAAGTCATTGCACACCTTAACTATATAATTAAAAAAAAACCCTGGCATTGCAAAAATTCAAACAAAAAGAAACACATCTTCTTTCAATGTTCTACTGCCTATTTTTTCTGTATTTTTAAAAATTTCTTTTAGTTTTTCTTTGAAAAACATTTTAAAAATGATAAAAAAGGCAAAAGCTATACACCAACCATTTCTCCTAAAAAACAGTAAAGTCCCTTACCTTGTCCATTCAACCCCAAAGGTAACTACTGCGAACAATTTATTATGTGTCCTTTTTGTTATTTCAAAAAATTACAGACATAACTATACATATACCCAATTTAAAAAAATGGACTGAGGTTATATAGACTTGTCTGTGACTTGTTTTTCATTTAAGAATAGATCAGGATTATCTAGCAATGCCTCTTCATATAAACCTATCTCATTTTTATTTCAGTTTAAAAATTTTCTCAAGCACGTCTGGTAAGAGCCAACATCCTTATGACATGATGTCAAGGATGGCCAGGGGGTTCAGGTGCCTGTGGTGGTGCAGGTCACTTAGGTAAGGATTCCTGATGCAACATGGCTTTTGCCTGTGTGTGTCCATCACCTTTGGATCTTCTGAAAAATATTGATGTCTGGGTGTCATCTCTAGAGATTCTGATTCAGCAGGACTTGGGGAGGCCCTAGCCTCTATATATGAAACAAAAACCCTATACAGGAGATCCTGATGCACAGTCCAGGGTTGGAACCGCCCTCCTGAGATAAGATAATGCCCAGTCCCGTCACAGATTTGGCTTGGAAAACTCCACCCCACCCCGCTCATAGCCAATAGGCCTTCTTGGGTGCACTGACCTTGAGGCCTGAGTTCTTGCGCATGCGGAGCCGGCCCATCCACATGTCAGTGAGCAGCATCTGGCTGCACGTGTGTGCAATGAAGTCACGGTGCTTGGCTGCCACAGCGAGCTGCAGGCACGTGGCATTGCTCCAGTTCTTCAGCTCATATGTCAGCAGTTTCATGGCCAGCTGCTCATCCTGCTTGTAGGACTGGTCTAAGAGCTCCACGGCCAGCTGGCCAAAGTCCCTGAAAGAGAGAATGGATGGAAGAGTCCTTCATGCCAGCCTGGAGACTTATATGACAAAACTGGGGACCCAATGGCCAACTGCAAGAGGTGGTTGCTGTGTGGTGCAGTTGTTTCATAGGGCACCTGGTCTGTTCATGAATACACCCAGCCAACTTCTATTAAGCATCTATCATGTGCCAGACACCACGTTTAGAACTGGGCATATAAGTCAAACAAGGCATGATCTCTGCACTCAAGCCTCCAAATTCAAGGCATATGGATGGTGAAGCAACCAATCAATTGATGGTTAGAGTGCAATATGTCTTCTTAAATGTGAGAGCCCTCAGTTCAAATCCCAGCCTTGCCAACCACAGTGGTGATCTCAGACAAGTTATTTAAATTCTCTGAGCCTCATTTTCCTCCGCTGAAAGTGCGTCATAACAGGACTTACCTCTTGGGGTAGCTGAGAGGATGAAATGAAATCTATGTATCTGTATGTGCCTCCATATGGAGCACTATGTGCAATAAAATTATTTGTGTTCACCCTCTGCGTGCACCATTGGGGTGACACTGCCTCTCCTTGATGTTCTGGGTAGTTCAGACCCTTCAGTATTTGGAGCCCACCTTCCTTCACTCTCCCTGACCACCTCATTTGCTGGGCCAGCCCACCTGGAGTTGTGGTTCAGCTCCTGGGAAATGTCGTCCACCATGTCATTCTCGGAGGCCTCGTGGGCCATGGCTTTGCAGAGCTTACAGGCCACCAGGGCTTTGGCCATGGCCTCCTCGCCATGCTGCCAGAAGAACAGGGCCATCTTCTGCCTCTTCATGAGGACGGCCCACACCATTAGCTCATGGAAAGGGAAAGGGAAATGGTTGATCTCAGGGTCATCCAAGTCAATGTCCACCTCTTCTTCACGCTTCTTGGTTGTCTTTCTTCCTCGTCTCAAGGGAATATCATCCTGTAAATTGAGAGGAAAGCCACACAGGCTGAGTTAGAAATGCATCAGTTCATTTCAGTAAGCAGTTACTGGATGCATTCTGCTGGCTCGGCCCTGGGACCAATCCTGAAATGAACTAGGCCAGCTCATGCATGCCTGACTCTCAAATGAGTTATAAGAAATGCATAAGCACAGTCTTATGGGAACATGTCCGTGTATATTTTAATTAAAACAATTTTTTTAATGGGCCATTTTCTTTTTTCTTTTGACTTTTGTCCATTTTTTTCTTCTACAGGTCCTCATGATGGACAGCACTGCCCTTTTTGCTGAAAGGACAGGACACCCTATACTAGCATTTGCATATGTGACAATAACCACATGACCAAAAGATGGGAAACAGATTATCTCGAGTTTCTGCAGACCTGTTAGATGCATCTGTGCAGTAGTTCTGATCTTTGGATCTGATGCTGTTTGTAAACACTCATGAACACATTTTCCTTACTGGAATTCATATGCTTCCTTGATTTTCAAGTTAGTATTTCAAGTAGCATTTATTATTTTTTTGTTGTTTGCAATCCTAACATAACCTCATGGTGGAGTTTTCAAAGCTACTGTGAGCTGCCCCCATGACACTTGGAACATTTTTATTTCCTTATTGTAGAATCATGTATTGAGCCCTACCACAAAAATGAACTTACATATATGTTTTAAAATGTGTAATAAAAAGAATAAGTAATTGACACTAATAATTTGAGCAAACACTTACCTCCATTCCCAGCAGTTTCAAGGCTTTGGGCTGTTGAAAAAAATATTGTGAACAAAGTCAGACCTTTCTTTCATAGAGGTAAGAAAAGAGTCCTACTGTATCTTAAACAGGTAATGTAAAATTCCATTGTACCATATAGCATTTATTTTTATTTCACTAAATAAAACACCACAGAGGAAACCTATTTACAGTCTTCCCTTGGTACCTCTGGGGGATTGGTTCCAGGTCCTCCCCACCCTCAGGATACCAAAACCCGTGGATGCTGAAGCCCCTGACATCAAATAGTATAGAATTTGCATATAATCTACACTTATCTTCCCATATACTTTAAATCATCTCTAGATTGCTTATAATATTGAATACAATGTAAATGCTATCTAAATACTTGTTTATTGTATTGTTTTTCAATTTGTATTTTTTTATTGTCTGTATTGCTCCTTTTTATTTTTATTTATTTGAATACTTTTGATCCACAATTGGGTGAATCTGTGGATGTGGAACCCATGGATATGGAAGGCTGACTGTATAGAAATTCTAAGAGAATTATGGATTTAGTGATTTTGGTGAATCACAGAAAATCAGGAAACTGGAGAGACATAATGAGATTGTCCAAGGGTACAGCCTGCAGGTTTATAATGTCTTTTGTGGACCATGATTTCTTTCACCTTCCTATAATCAGCCTGCTTTGCTGACACATTCATGGCCTTCAGTGCTTGAATGAGTGTTGTGTCTCAATGTTTGTCCTCCCCAACCCCCACCCCAATTCATATGTTGAAATCCTAATCCCCAAGGTGATGGTATTAGGTGGTGGGGCCTTTGGGACTCGATTAGGTCAAAAGGGATGAACCCCCTTGAATGGGATTAGTGCCCTTATAGAAGAGGCCCTGGGAGCTTGTTTGACCCTTGTGCCAATGTGAGGACACAGCAAAAAGGTGCCATCTATGAACCAGGAAATGGGCCCTCACCAGACACTGGATCTGCTGGCAACTTGACCTTGGACTTCCCAGCCTCCAGAACTGTGAGAAATAAATTTTTGTTGTTTATAAGCCACCCAATTCATGGCATTTTGTTACAGCAGCCTGAACAGACTAAGACAGATGAGCAACGAAACATTCAATCAAACAGATCAAATCAGATATTTCTCAAATCTCTGGAAAACCTCTATTACATGGAGACTTGGGATATTATTGAGCAATACACGTTTGATGCTTCATGCTGGCCATCTCCCTGTGCTGCTGCACAGCGGAGCAAGGGCAAGTTGGGCCAGAGGGCATGTGCTGATGGTGGCAAATTGTGCTGAGTGGTGTGGGAAGTGTCAACACACAAGGGAACATCACTGGCCATGCTGGGAATGTGCAAAATAGGCACAGACCGAGAAAGAGAGGGAAGGTCACTTGGCACATTACAGAACTTGACTTATCTTTAACAAGGAGAGACAAAATAACATCTCAGGGGACAGGAGTACAATTCTATGCTTTTAAGTATTACAGAATGGTCGGGCGCCATCTTGAAAGTTATAGTAAGGTCACAGCACTTACAGTTCTTCCAAATTTTATCTGACTATTCAAGTTGAACCTAATCTTTCTCTCTCTCTTCCTTTCTCTTTCAGCTTCTATTATGACCATCAGTCTAAAATCTGTTTTTGTTTTTTTTTTCTTTATACTTTTTGGCATTCTCAAATTTCTCTTCTAGTTGCACAAAATGGTTTTATAATCAGAAGAAAGCTTTGTTAGAAATAAAAATCAGGCTCACTACCAGTGAGAACAGCAGTTCTCAAAATGTGGTCCATGGATCATGAGGGTTCCTGAGACATTTTCAGAGGGTATGAGAAGTCAAAGCTATTTTCCTAGTAATACTAAGATGTTATTGGGTTTGACACTGTGTTAACATTTGCACTGATGGTGCAAAAAAAGCAGTGGGGAGTGAAACCACTGGCTGCCTCAGCAAGAAGACAGGCAGTGGTACCAAACTTCACTAGTTGTCGTCAGACTCCCCTGCTATGCACTTGCAGGAAAACAAAACAAATTTCCCTTAAGAATGTCCTTGACGAGGTGTAAAAGACTATTAACTTCATTAAATCTCTGCCCTTAACTGCATGTCTTTTCACTACTCTATGGGATAAAATGGGACGGATGCCTAAAGCACATCTGCTACCTGCTCAACTATGATGGCCTGTCCTGAGGAAAAGCATTTATGCAATCGTGTGGATTGAATTATAGTCACTTTTTTCATGGAATATCATTTTTATTTGAAGGAATGACTATCAGACAGACGATGGTTACTTAGGTTTGGACATTTGGTGTCATTTTTTTTTTTTTTTTTTTTTTTTTTGCAGCTGGCCAGTACGAGTATCTGAACCCTTGACCCTGTTGACAGATATTTCTGGACTAACCAAAGTGAGGTTTGTCACTTCAAGGAAAACGACTGACAGTATTTGTTGCCAATAACAAAATTCAAACTTTCAAGAAAAAATTGGAATTTTGAATAACTTGTATCTGCCCCCCACCCCCCACAACCTTGACAGCTTTTCAGTATTTAAAGACTTTTGAAACTGGAGGTGATATTAATGAATACAAGTTTTGGAAATTGTATAATGAAATATGTCAACATTTGGAACATCTGCATAACTCAACAAACCAATATTTTCTGATGACCATGCTGTAATGCTACGAGATCCATACAAAGTGCAGGACAGACCAATGGATTTTCATATAACAGAGGACAGAAAGTTCATTGATATGATCTTAGGTTTCACATTACAACTCATCTTTAAGAAACTGTCACTTGTTAAATTTTGGTGTAGTATCAAAAAAGACTACAATTTTCCATAAAGATTATTAATACTCTTTTTAATATATATATTTGTTGGTTGTATTTGTCACATACTCATATTGTGTGAGGTCAGATATTCCTCATATACTTCAACCAAAACATCTTGCAACAGACTAAATGCAGAAGTAGATATGAGGATCCTGCTGTTTTCTACTAAGCCAGATATTACAGAAATTTGCAACAATGTAAAATAATGCTACTCTTATTAATTTATTTTTGTTTTTGAAAATATAGTTTTTTTCCATAAACATTTACATTAACATATAACAAGATTCTTAGGGTTACCTTAAAATAAATTAACACAGTTTTTTTTAGAGTCTCAATTTTAATTTCTAACATGGTAATTATCCATAGCTAGAACTCCCATAGATAAAAGCTCTTTGGAATCCTCCACAATTTTTAAATGTATAAATAGACCCCAAGACCCAAAACCTTGAAAACTGCTGAATTTAATAATCTTAATAAGGCTGATTTGAATTTCATTACTATTCTCTGATTATTTAGGCTGACAATCAGTGCAATTTTCTGATTCGAATTGGACCTAATGAGAAAAAAGAAATTTATCCCTCACCCATTCTGTTTTTGTTCCTTTAATATATATATATATTTGCAATGGATATGATGGAAGAGGGAAGAATAGGGGGTAGTCACCTCCTTCTGATCTGGTGCTCCCAACCCCAAGCAGACAGAGAAACCCGCCTTCAATCTCTCATGCCCCAGCCCTCCCAGGAGGGGCCCAGGAATCTGGGCCAGGCTCACCCTCTTGGGGCCGAAGAGGTTGTGGTAGAGGGTCCTGAAGCGCTTGCGAGTGTAGTTGCAGCGGTAGGCGCCCCCCATCAGGTACTCGATCACCAGGCCGATGTCAATCAGGCTGATCCTGTAGTCTGGGGGCAGGTTGCCCTATCAGGGAAGAACGAAACACACGAACAAACAAATCCAAAAGAACACGTGGTTTACTAGGGATTCGATTTCATGGGTCCTGTAACTATTTTAGAGTTAAAACAAAATAATGAAAAAAGAAACATATGAATGTATTATTATGCTGGTTAATTAATTCACCTTAAAATAGATCCAACCGAAACCTGGATATTCTCGCTTGGAAAGAAGACATAAGTTAAATAAGAAGATGCAGTAATCGTCGGCAATAACAGAAAATCAAAATATTTATTCAAGTCTTCAGCTGGGGAGAAAAAAACACCAGTGTAGCAGAAAGAAAAACAAGGCTAGACAGGCAAATGCTATCGCTCCCAGACACGAAGAACTCGCTTCCCCACTTGTTCCTGGGCCCCTCTTTCTGCCTCTGACCCAGGCCTGTCACCACCCTCCTACTGATCATTTATTTTCTTCTCGTTCACTAAGGGAAGACTCCTTCCAGAAGATGAGAGTTATTACCAGGGCCAGCATCAGCTGGGACTTGCTTAGAGCTCACGTCTCCTTTTGCTACAAAACCTCTATTGACAGCTTTTTGAAATGGGCAATTTTTTTCATAAAAACAGTGTCTAGGGAGGGGATTTTGGGTGTGAGGATGAAGTTGTATATGATCCCTTGTGTTTAAAGAGAAGCAGGGGAGAAATAGGAGAAGAAATTTTATCAATGGGATATCTGTTTTTCCAGAATTAAGGAGACTTTTCATTTCCTCTTTCAAAGAGAGTAGGGTTTCTCAGAGACCTAGAGTTATGGTGTGTCTTTTAGCTGCATGCCATATCTAGATGCAAAACCAGAAAAGTTTTTATTCTTATTTACTCACAACTGCTTTCCACTTCAAAAGGAAGCTCTTTAGAGTCTAAGGAAAATCCTTGCTCTGTTAAGTCAAGGAAGAGTTAGTCTCATTTGTGGGAAATTCTGACTTGCAGAGAGTTCCACAGGGCATGATGAATCAGCTCTCTCTGTCTGGTCTAGTTCCTTCATGCAGGAGAGCGCTCTATGCCATGAAGGGCTGGGGGGTCACATTGTGTAGGAAGCCTGGGACACTGTGTCCTCAGGTGTATTTTGGAGAGGCATGATGGGCTTCATCCACTTTTGTCCCTAATGGAGGACCCACCCAGGATGCTGTGTGAGATTTCTGCCACCTCACAGAAGAGGCTCAATCTATGCTGGTGGTTTTCCAACTCTGGTGGTATCAGAGTCTCCTGGGGAACTTGGTGACAATTCAAATGCCCAGACTCTGTCCTAGCCAGTGTAATGTATCAATCTGCTATGCTTTGCATTAGCCCCTCCAGGCGATTCTGATACACACCAAAGTCTGTCAGACCACTTGTCTACTAAATAAGGCTCATGTGGCAACGGTAGATTATGTGGCAGAACTGGGAGTTTCGTAGTGTAAAAAAATAATCACAGTTAATAGGTAATTAAGTTCTTTTGCTAAGCTGAGGGTAGGTTTTCAGTTATCCTTACTCAGCTTTCCTATGGTCAACCACATCTATTGGAAGGTTTTGAGATTCAGGGTTGGAGGTGGCCCACTGAAAACTATCACTTAACCAAAGCGTTCTCATTTACTTAATTGTTTTATTTATCTTTATATTCCCAGTGCCTTTTATAGCGCCTGGTGTGTGGCAGGTACCCAGAATATTTTTTCTTCAAAATGTAAACCAGTAGAACAGTGAAATTAATTGATGTGGTTGGGATGAGTTCTGGGTTTGGGGTTTTTCAGCATTGCGTTCTTAGTAACAGAACTAGCCACAATCTTCTAGTCACCCCTGGTTGGGATAGCACCCGTGCAGTGTGGAAATTTGACTTGAAATACATGGATCGCTGTAGCTGGACTTCAAAGACTATCCTCAATTGGCTCTCACCCCCACCTGTCGGGGTCCACCTCTCTCATGGCTTGGGGCACACGGCAGGCTTGGGGAGCTAATTTGAGCTGGCTGGGCAAAATGGGACTGTGTGAAAGGCATCACATGAGGTGGAAACACCTTGAGACACAGAACCCCTCCCATCCTTGACCTTGGCCCATCACAACCCAGCCTGAGATCCATTTCATTAGCTGAATGGTCCCTTCACAAAAATGGTCTTTACCCTCCTCAGAATTTCAAAATCTCCTTTGTTTGAAGATTATCTTATCAATCTAACAGAATCAGCAAGTTAAGCTCTCTTTGGGCAATTAAGAAAGACTAATTGTCTGACTTCTTTATGCAAAGCATGGCAAAAAAATATTTAAAAAGGAACTCAGAGAAAGTTTTAAGATAGTAACTTTCATGTCTTGCACTTTTCATAAAAAGTCAGCTGAGTTTTAAAATTATCACCCATGCAAGCATTTCTCTCCATTATTTTGGGGCAGGTGAAGAGGCCACGGTTCCTGGACCCTCCAGCTCTATTGCATGGTTAGGCAAGGCTGTCATGTAAAGAGGAGAAGATCCCAAGAGACTGGATATGCCTGGGTAGTCCTCACCTCAAGCTCGTTTGGCTCCTGTAAGGATGACTGCTAGAGGATGCCCCTCCACCTGGGTTATCTCCTTGGCACTGTGAGGCAGGCAGGAGAAAGGACGGCAGCGTCTAGTGAGCTGCCCTGGGTTTCTGTCTGTGCTTCATGGATCAGCCACTTTCCCACAGGGCCTCAGTTTCCTTGCCAGTAAAAGGGGGCTGAACTCCATGGTCTTTATGTAATGCTAAAATACCAGGTTTCGGGAAAATCCCCAAAGGATTGATTGTGATGTGATTGAAAGGCAGTCAGAGCAAGTCTATGGACGTGTGTCTGCTTTCAATCTTTTAAGGATTCTCTGCATCTAACATGTGGGTGATAGTGAGCCTAAAGCCTGTAGATTTTGTTTTGAGAAACTCACGTGTGAGCATCAGTTTGAATTCTAAGAACAAGGCTCTAATGTTGCCTGGAGACCAATATTGAATGGCAATATTTATGCTTTTGACATGTCTTTAAGAGTGGGAGTTGTCAGGAAAGAGATGATAGTAGTAAGATTCAGAATAAATAAAAATTTCAGGGGCAAATAAAGCATTTTTAGCAAATGGATTTTTAAATAAAGAACTGCTAGGACCACAAGGGGGTGCTGTTCACCTACCCAAAGTCAGTGAGGCTCCCTCCCTCACCAGCATTTGCCTGCCTGTTGTTTTATGTGTATCCTAAGGACATATAAACAAATTCAGAGCAGTCTGAAGGATTGGGGACTAAGGAGGGAGTCAGATGCTCCTGTTGAAGTGATATCCGGATGAGGGAAAGTTTACTTTAGCAAGTAATGTGTTTGAATTCAGCCTGCAAGGCTGATTGCACATGTTTCTTTCTAGAGACTTTTGGGACCAGAGAGGTTAAGGGAAATTAGTTTGACATTTCTTATTAGGAAGAGTAGAAAAGTTTTGGAGAAGAAAAAACAGATTTTGTAAAATGAATAAAATTGGGAACAATTTAAGCCTCTTGGGATTACTGTGTCCTCCTAGGTGGACTCTGAAAGAGATGGAAGTGTGGGTGCGTGATGAAGTACGAGGCTGATGGCCTTGACCACCTGTGACATGCAGATGTCACTAATGATGCATCTGCACTGTTTATCCTAGGATGGGCACTTCTGGGCTGAGGGGACCTTACGATACTCATGCAGAAAAAGCCAGAGACATGAGCATAGTGGAATCAGCACTGGGTTGGGCTGTGGCCCTGGCTCTGCCCCCCTGTGACACTGGGCAAGTCACATGCTTTCTCTGGACCTCAGTTTATGCTCTGGAAATAGGTGGCTTGGACACAGTTACTTTTAAGGTCTCATTGTATGAACACTACCTGCCAGGCTGCTCGTTTCTTTTCTGCAAGTGGACCCCTATCCAGAGTTTCCAAGGTCGATGTGGCTTCTAGTTATGTCCTGAGTGTGGTTAGTGGAACTGGGGGCTCAGAGACATGGGCGGTAAAGGGATAGACAGGGTGGGATTGTGCTCAATTGAATCTACCTCCTCTGGAAAAGGCAGAGAAGGTGAATGGTACCTTACATACCAACAGGTAATGTCCAGAAATCTTCTGGAGGAGTCTTCCTTTGCTTAGATCCATTTCAAATTGGAAGCCAAAAGTGCTACTGGGTAAAACTGATTCTGCCCACTGTTTCTGCTTACCCCAACCCTCCCCCTTTGGGTAATTACTTTAGTAATTGGTAGAGCTTAAACAATTATTTCCCCTTTTATGCCTTAACATGTAGTAGGCCACGTGGTTCACATAATTAGCTAGAGAGGCTTGGGTCTCTGCGTAGGTACAATTGGACAACTTGAAAATGTTGTCTCCTTTTTTCATGCTATGAACTGCTACTCTGAAGCTAAGTTTTAATCCGTGCCATGCCTAAGAATGCCTTAACTAAAAGAATAGTTTAAATTTACTTATTAAATCTGCTCTTCAGAATAAACTCTGTTTTTCAGATGTCAGCTCGTCATATCACTGTCAAATTTCAATTGTTCAGGAACATTTTCTTTTCTTTGACACTCATATCAAGTCTTCAAGACAAGGTTGATTCCTTCTGGTACGTGTAAAGAGTGAAATGACTGCTGGCTGTGGGTTTACCTGAGAGCAAGGAGAAGACTATCTGGGGACATCTGTATGATAAGGAAAAGTGCACTGCAGTTGGTGTAAGTAATCGCCAGGTGAGAAGAGGACATTACCCCAGTGTTTGGCAGGTGAGCACAGTAATAGACCAGGCAGTCAGTCTTTTAAAAAATATGAACGTTTTTGCAAATTTGTATGAATTTAGCAGATGGGATTATGAAAATATCCTTTCCCAAAGTGTGTCTTAAATGCCTTTTTTTTTTTCATTCTGCAAAGCTCTGGGTCTTAATTTCCATATAAATGAACTTTAAATTTTCATAATTTTACCACTATATGTAATACTCAAATATGACCCTTCTTTGGTGGGGAGGGATAGTATAGGTAATTTGAAGTATTAGCACATTTACTTTAAGGAAGAAAAATGCTACTTTTAAACACACAGAGGCACAAATTGAGCAGACAGCTACTAAAATGGCAGGTTATATTTCACAGAAAAGCAGACAGACTCGGCCGCTCTGGTCTAATATGAGAGCATTGGTACATTCAATGGATTTATGCATGACAATAGTTCAGGAAATCGGATTGTCTATCAATATAAGTTTCTGACTGACGCTGAATAGCTGCTCTTTTACTTCATTGCTCTGATATTGCTCCCTTCATGTAAATACTTTGAGATTTTAAAACTAGTTTGGGAGCAACTCTCCATATTCAGTTCTGTGGGCTTCAAAGAACAGCTGGACTTGGAGATGTCCTGCTGTTTGACTTACAACATTCTGCTAAATCCTAAATGCGCTCCCTGGGTTCTTAAGAGTTATTTACACTTAATTTTTTTTTTCCTTTTTGTCTTTTTTGATGTCCGGCAACGGACCGCAACCCTCAGTGTCGCGCCCGTACCGGACCGGGACCGGCAACGGGATCGCAACCCTCGGTGCTGCGCCCGCCCCTTGCTCAGCCAGTGAGTGGGAACCGGTCTGTATGTAGGATCTGAACCCTCAGCGGGAGCGCCGCCGTGCTCCCAAGCGGCGCACTGTAGCAGTGCGCCACCGGGCCAGCCCTACACTTAATTTTACAGACATATTATCAAACACTATGCTTAAGGTACAGGACTGTGTTCCTAACTCACAAATAGTATTTTGGGCCAGGCTTCTAATCTACTGGTTGATTTTTGTCACAGATTAAATGAATGCATATATTTCCCTTTGTAAGTAAAGAAGACAGCACATGTTAATTGTTATATTTTTTAATTTTCAAAATTGCTTAAGCTTCCCAGGATTTTCTAGGCATTTTAAACTGAGTTTTTGTAGCCTGAGCATCTTATCAGCCTAATTTGCTGGAAGTCATCTGGAAGCATCTGAGAAAGCTGTGCACGCATGTTAACCTCTGTTATTCACTTCTCAAAAAACACACAACAAATAAAAAGCCTCATATTCAGCTCCCTTCATCCACAGAACATAAAATGTAGACATCGCCAGCTCCTTTGATTACCATTTTTTTCTTTCTTGCTCTCCAATTGTTCGACATTATTATAGAAATAAAAGTAGTCTGCATTTCCCGTTCTTTCTCCTTCCCAAGGGAAGAAATCAATGCTGGGCTTTCTGTCTCTCCCCACCTGATTAGCAGCCTCTTTTCCAGGGAAAAGGATAAGTTGTTCCTACACCAGTTCAGTACTCTTCTGGGTGATCAGTTAACATTTTTTCCAGTTACTAAATTAGTAAGTAAATGAATGCTTATGTAAGTATCTTCTTGCTCCAATATTTGAACCACACTTAAAAGAAAAAAAAAAAAAAGCTGCTGTGAACTAATAATATTCCTTCCTCCCAAATCCTTACCATCCTGTTTTTTCTTGTTAATCTATATTATTTTTGAGGTACATCTTTAGATAAGAAACTAAAAAAAAAAAATTGCCCAACTTAAAGGTACTTTACATGAATTCTAATAATACAGGTGAAGTAAGCAAATGCAGAAGGGATTGCAGAAAAGGGACAAGGATGTTGCAAAGCAGAGTCCTGTGGGGAAGAGAACCTAGGAAGAGGGATTTTGATCATTTACACTCAGTGAAATCTAACTGCAAAAATCTCTTTCAAAAGCAGGCAAGACATTATTGCTGGGAGACTGGGCGGTGGAAGTGGATGACTGACTGTTTAAAGGCTTGGGTTGGCTGATGGCTGGGACTGGAGGACAAAGGCTTAGCTGTCTCTTCAGAAAGCCTCACAATTCCTTCAGGGACACCAACTAGCTTAAGATGAGGCGGAGAATACCTTATTCATTATTTTAGAAAAGCGCACAACATTTTATTGAACATGATCAACAAATATTTCCACAAAGAATGCACATTGGATGTCTACACTTCTAATCTTCTGAGTTTAGCTTGCAGGCAATTTTTTTTTTTTTTTCCTTTTTGTCTTTTTTTCGTGACTGGTAATGGGATCGCAACCCTTGGTGTTGCGCCCACACTGTGCTCAGCCAGTGAGCGGACCGGTCTCTACATGGGATCCGAACCCTTGGCGGGAGCACCGCCGCGTTCCCAAGCGCCTCACTCTACCGAGTGCGCCACCGGGCCGGCCCCACAGGCAATTTTAAACCAGGATAAATTAAACAAAAGCGAAGCCTTGAAGGAAAGAGAAATGGGTTTGTTGAGGGCAGATGTGCTCCCATGGCTGGGAATGGGGCAGGCCGTTGAGAGATGCGATCCTAGGAAAATGGTTGTTGAGTTGGATCGTCCCCCTTGCTTTGGAAACACTGCAGGCTTCCCTCACTCACATGGATGAAAAATCCTTCTTTAAGGTTGTGTGGAGATGGGAGGAAATTTTGCAAGGGCCAAAGGAAGAGATTTTTAGATTTTTTTGTTTCTGCTTTTATATCCTTTACTTGTCACTAGAAAAGGTCTGGCAGGTTAATAGGTACATTATGGGCAGCCCCTTTGCTTGACCTTTCAAAGGAAAAATAAAAAAAAAATAGCTACAGACACCTAAAGGTTGGTCCTAGCCGATGACTTCCTATGAGATGAAGGAATTGTACCCTGTTTTTGACCTCACTTTGTGGCTTTCTCTGCGTATGTCCTGTGGACTAAAAGAATTGCTAGAGAGTGGTGACAGTGGGTAAACACGTGCACGTGTGTGTGGGCACGTGTGTGGGGTGGGGGAGTGCCACCATCTATTTTATCCTTTGATGACCTCACTTTGTGGCTTTCTCTGCGTATGTCCTGTGGACTAAAAGAATTGCTAGAGAGTGGTGACAGTGGGTAAACATGTGCACGTGTGTGTGGGCACGTGTGTGGGGTGGGGGAGTGCCACCATCTATTTTATCCTTTGGAGTTCAAATATCACTTTCTGGGATGGGTTCAAGGGTTCAGACCCAAGCTACCTCTGGAAGAGACTGTCAAAAAAACGAACACTTGGCTGAGATTAAACATAACCTCCCTGTGCCTCATTTTTCTCATCTTTAAATGGGAATATACTACCTAGTAATAATAATAAAATAATAATAATTCTACTTCATAGATTAGTCGTGAAGGTCAAGTGAGTTAAGGTGCATAGAAAGCTTATGTCAATGTTGTGCACCTCGTCCTCACTAAATCATAGCTATTATTTCATTATTATTATTTATTAGAGAATCTGATCTCTAATCCCAGCTTGTCACTAACCACTTAATACAGTTCTCACCTCCTTGTACTTCACCTCCTCACTTGTGAAACGAGACTAATTCTACTCGATCCATATCTACCCGCTTTTCTTTTTTCCTTTCTTTTCCCCCATAAAATGGGATGATGAGTGTGAAAAAATATTCTGGAAAAAAATACGTGTTAGATGAAATGCATACATGTTTCAATCCCTGTTTCTCTGAGGTTCTGGGAGCTATGCTTCCTACACGCTATCTGATGCTCGACGTGACATTGTGTCAGGATCTAGTAGGGACCCCGTATGCTCAGTCAGGCAGCATGGACACTAGCTCCCCAAACAGTGAGGGGCATATGGGAAAAGTACAGGTGATGGCATAAATCCACATGGCATGGGGGAAAGCCTAGGGTTCCACTATCCAAAAGCATTCTGTCCAACAAAAGCATCTAAAACCACGGCAACTGGAGATAAAACCAAAGCTGTGTTGTAAGCAGAGGTGTCAGAGTTAAAAGACAGACACATGTACACACTGTTGTGAAATGAGGGGCGTCTGGCAAGGACAGGAATACTCTATAGCTCATGCAAAACAGAGGCACTTTCAGTCACAGCAGGCAGTCAAGACAGGGCCTCTGACCTGAGGTCGAGAGGGTTCTTACCTTTTTGACATCCCTGACCAAGTGGTACAATGTATTTGAGGGCCCATGTCTCTGAAAACAATAAAGAAGAATCAAACAGTTTTGCTGGTCAGGGGCTCTGATCATCAAGGAGAGAAGGATCTGGAAGGAAGGGTCTGGCTGGTGGAGGGCAGTTCATTAAGATGGGTCTCGTTCTAGTTGCTCAGTTGTACCTAACTTTTCTAAACAAACACACTGGCAGATTTTTGGACTGTATTTCCTCTGGAAAACGTGTTTGAGGTTTTAGGTTCAAATTTGGTAAGGGAGGTCATCAACTCTGTTGACAGCTGGGCCAAAATATCCTTGAAGGAGCTGATTTTACTGCAGGGGAAACAAAGGGGCCAATGGACCACATTGGAAATACAATGAAAGATTGCCATGGCAATTTGTTTATTATCCATAATGAATGAGAAATTGTCCAAAAAAGGGTTGGCCAACTTTTCTGTAAAAGGCCAGACAGTAAATATTTCAGACTTTGTGGGCTGTATAGTATTTATCGAAACAGTTTGACTCTTCTGTCTTAGTGTGAAAGCTGCCAGATATGATATATAAACAAATCAGCTTGGCTATGTTTCAATAAAGCTTTATTTAAGGACATAGTAATTTGGATTTCATGTAATTTTAATATGCCATAAAATATCATTCATCTTTTGGTGTTTCAACCATTGAAAAATGTAAACAACCCATTCTTAGCTTGCAGGCTGTAAAGGAACAGGCAGTGGGTTGGATTTGGCCTTTGGATGATAGTTTGCTGAAACCTGGTTTAAAGAAAAAGCCACACGGTGTTTGGGATAAAGAGAGAGTTGGGGAAAAGATGTATGTTTGCTTGAAGTAAGAATAAAGTGAAATGAATTGCCATTCTATCGTCTTTCAGGAATAGGAATGCTAGACCATATACAGGATGAAAAATTAAATTTGAATTTCAGATATACAATGAGCAATTTTAACATAAGTATATTCCATGCGATATTTGGAATATACTTCTACTAAAAACTCATTTGTTGTTTATCTGAAATTTAAATTTAAATGGGTGTCATGTATCTTTACTTGCTGAATTTGGTGACCTTTCTGAAGGATCTAAGTTATTGATGGCAAATCCTTGAGTGCTGTTTCAACACATTTAAATAGTAAGCCCTCCCCATGTACTGCCTCAACCACCTGCCCATTCATGTGGACATGCCCATCAGAAGTGTTTTCCACCGAGGGGATGCTGTACTGTGTACTGATTAAACATGCAGACTCTGGAGTCAGTGCCTGGCTCCAATCCTGGCTCTAAACACGGGAGAGCTACTTAACTGCAACTCAGTTTTATCATCTGTAAAATGGGGATAATAATACCACTTTCTGACAGAGTTGTTGTGAGGATTAAATGATACAATGTTTATAAAGCTATTAAAAGAGGGCGTAGCACTTCATAAATGTTAGCTGTTATTGTTACTACGGAGGCCATTCTCTGTTCCATATGTTTCCCAACAGAGTATTCCAGGTAACCACCACCGGTTGATTGGAGTGATGAAATCTATCTGCCTGTCTCCATCTAGAACTTTCCTACTTCTTTTCTTTCTTTTCAAGCTCTGGGATAAACCACTTTACTCCCTTGATTTTCTAACTGATTTGCAAGCATTCAACTCTGTCTTATTTTATTTATTTTTTAAAATGGAAAACCCCATTATTCTCACTGAAAATTTCAGTATGCTGAGCCAAGAAAAATCTGCAGAGAAAACCTGAGTCACTCTGCTAACCTGTTTTCTATTTTCTGCAGTGGGAATGAGATAGAGATAATGTGGCACCATCTGACACCTACCACTGGTTGGAGACAGGTCAGTGACCTCTATCCATTTGTGCTCTGGGTGGTGGGTAAGGGACATTGTGACAAATGAGAAGAACAATCTCTGAGACAGAAGCTTGGGGTCAGTACTGGCTTCTTTCTTGAAAATTTTGTGACCTTGAATAAACCAATTCACTTCTTGGCCACGGCTATGGTCTGAATGTTTGTGCTCCACCAAAATTCATGGTGATACTTAATTTCCAATGAAATAGTATTAAGAGGCTGGGCCTTTAGGAGGAAATTAAGGTCCTCATGAAAGAGGCTTCACACGACACTCAGCCCTTTTGCCCTTGCATCCCTTCTGCCACATGAGGACATGGCATTTGTCTCCTCTGGAGGACGCAGCAACAAGTGCCATCATGGAAGCGGAGAGCAGCCCTCACCAGGCATCAAAGCTGCCAGAGCCTTGGTCTGAGATTTCCCAGCCTCCAGAATCATGAGAAATAAATTTCTGTTGTTCATAAAATAGCCAGTCTCAGATATTTTGTTAATAGCAGCATAAATGGACTAAGACAGCCTCACTTTGCTCATCTGTTAAATGGGAGAAAGCAATATCTGCTCTGTACAATTCATTGGATTTCAGCATCAGCTCAGAGACAATGCACTTAACTTGCTGAGTGCTCTCAGAAACTTCATAAATAGTAGTTTTCCCTGTGATCACTCCTTGGTGTCTCTAGTGAGTGAATTAGAAAATCATTATGAAACTAAAAAAAAAAACAAAAAATATTTTTGGGTAACTTTAAACAAGAGATATTTTGCATTTTATTCCACTATTGTGGAAAAAGAATGAACTTCATAGCTCTGAGGATAATGAAATGGTGCAGGATGGGTAACTGGCCTTCTCTGATACTTAAATTAAATCAATACTCCTCTGCCAATTGCCTCAAACACCCTCTGGGCTTCCAGAGTAGACAAGGTTCTAATTTGCAGAGCCTTGTGGTCTTTTGTAAGAATATGAGAACAATACCCATAGGTGATCACATAACTGTTTGCCTTAGATGCTGACAACTGAGCAGTTAAAACAAGAGGAATTTGGTAACTTGGTGTCTGTTGTCTACATAGGTCTAGGGAAGTATTTGTGAAGAATGATCCATGCATTTGGGGAGGAGGGGAGGGAGGGAAAGAATCACAGGCAGGTGGGGGGGGGCAGGAGAAGGTACAACAACAACAACAAAAAAAACGTAGAGAAAATAAAAGTGCCTTAGCTCGGCCCTACCGTATTGTACAACTCCTCTAGCCTGGAGATGGTGAGAAAACGGTGCATGCTTACTCCATTCTCTATGAGTAATTTCACAAAGTCCACTCTGTCCAGAACTAGGGCATCCAGCATGGCTTGCTCCAGGGACCCCACCTGCAAATCAAGTCACTGAATTAGTCTGTCCCAGGGTCTAGGGATGCAGCTCTTTGGCATTCACCTGAGCAACTTAGAAGTGGATGCCTTTGACATCTGGTAAACCTTTAGCACATCCACGGACACACTGGCAAGGTTGCTCATAGCTCCAGTTTTGGGACAACCATGACCTCTCCTGTATTTGGGAGCCTGTCTTTGCAAATAGAAGTCAAGGGTTCTAGTTCCAAAGCTATTTCTTCCTTGAATCTCTTTCTTGTTCTGGATCCTGAGAAGGTGCAAAGGTTTATATGGGTTTTCCCCTTATAATTCTGTGACCAAACTTCTGCAACGCCAGTGAAGTGCCTAAGTGGGAAGTCTCTGTTCTCATTCTATCATCCTTAGGCTCTGAATGCGACCCCTGGCTGGCTTGAGAAGAGGGACTCAAGCAAACAGACCAAAGGACCTCAATAGATGCTGAATCTCACGGAGAACTGTGCGAGACCAAAGCAAGGTGGGGTCACTTAAATAAAAAAAGAACCACCTGCATTCTGGATTTGCCACTGGCTAGGATTTTTATTTAATTTCTGTCACACAAGTTTCCCAGTGTCCAGACTCTTTGACAAATCTTTCCACACTAGCAATCCACTAGCACTGAATGAAGACAGGGGCTCAGCCCCAGGCAGAAGCTCTCTGAGAGACAGAAAGTGTTAAAAGAGACCTGCCATGAGTGGTGTGATTCCAGGCACAGAAATCGAATTTCAGCCTGCTGGGCTGCCTCCTGTGGATGCATGCATACACCACCCAATGGCCGATTCCCCAAGTCTTTATTTTTGGTAGAGTAGATTGAGGGAAGCAAACCAGGAACAGTTACATAAAGCTTTGGTCCCCTCATGTAGTTCTTTGGGAATAGGAAGGACCTGTGCTCAGCCACCAGGAGCAGATGGCACCTGCACATGGAGGCCTGCTAATTCTGCATTCTGAGTGTGACCCAGCCGTAAACCAGTGTGGGGTGCCACCGCTTGGAAGCAGCAAGCTCTTCCTTTTTGCCCCCTCAAGGACAATCAGAAACAAACCGATAATTCCATTCATTCCTTAATTTTAATTCATACAACTTTGTCTTATATATTTTTTTCAGACATATTAAAAGAAATGGCATCATTTGTAGCTGAAAATTGTTATCAACGAGATTCTGTAAATATTTGGCATGTTTGGAGTGCAACTCCCACCAGGTGGCAGCGTTTTCCCAGCTGTGAGAAAGGGAGCCAGGCCAGGGATGTGCTACTAAGGGACATTTTCCTTCCTAAAGAAAGGGCAGCAGTTTTCTGAGCCGCTCTTGGAGGCTCCTTAAACAAATACCCTTGCCCAAGCAGGTGGGCTTTTCAGGGGCGACAACATATACTCTACCGGCCACTGTTGCCCATAAATAAAGATCTGGCTGCGAGCGATGTCCACTCTGTTCCAGGCTAAAGCTAAGCTCAGTTGGTCTGGGGCCGAGGCATTGGCTCCTGTGTGTAGACAAGTGGGAGAGAGAAAACAATGATCCGTTATTATACCACGAAGACCCACCCCATCACTCTGCCATCGATTCCATCCCCACCCCCACTTCCCGAAGAGCAGACCCGGCCCTACAGCAGGGCATCTGAGCCTGCCATTCCGTGAGAATGTGAGGCTGGACTTCTCTAAGCCTCCCTTCTATCATCCGAGAAAGGGGGACAATAAAAATTATCTTGTTTACTGGGGTGAGGTGTTGTGAGACTGAAATGAGATCGTGTGAGTGAATTAACTTGTGAACAGTTTTTTCACAATTCACCAACAGCCTTGGTGAATTGAGGAAGAGACATCCCTAAATATTTGCCCAACTTGGTGCTGCTGGATGTCCCACCAGCAGGGGAAGAGGGTAGAGAGAAAACTCTCCCCTGGCTCAGAGCATTTGAACATCTAATATGTGCTAGCCAAGTGTTAGCAGGCACTTGCACATGTCACATGCAATGCTCCAAATAGTCCTGGGAATTGGATCTTACTGTCTCCACGGGACAGACGAAGACACTGAGGTTCAGAGAGGTGCGAGGGAATAGTCAAAGATCAAAGAGCTACTAATAGAGGGCAAACTGAACAAGTATTCCCCATGCTGGAGGTGAGCTGCAGAGCCAGTGAGCCCTTGCTTCTCTCCATCACTGCTGCTTCTGATGGCTGTGATGGAAGGAGGGACAGCAAGTGTGTGTGCTGCCTGTTCCTCTGGGTTTGCCTGCAGTGGAAGCCAGAAGCAATGAGGCGAAGGCAGGGTTCCTGGTGCTTAAGCTGTATCAATGATTCCCAAGCTTTGCTGCACATTAGAATCACTGGGGGAGCTCTTAAAAAATCCTTATGCTCAGGTTGCACCCCGTAACAATTAAATCACATCGCTCGGGATGGGATCCTGGCACTGATGCTTTTTAAAACTGGACAGGTGTTTCTAGTGTGCAGCAGAGGCTGGGACTACTGTGATTTGTGCCTCCTTTCCTGCTTACCCTTGCCTCTTTCCACTGGGCTCTGAAATATTAACATTAATAATTAGGCAGAGTGTTCACTGGATGAGCACTTCTCAAATTTGAGCGTCCATAAGTCCAAGGGTACTTCGAAAAGTTTGTTGAAAAACAGAGTTACAAGATGATATGGATATTTCCATGAACTCTTTGAAGTACCCTTGTGTAACCTGGAGAATTTTTTAAAACACAGATTCTTGGATCTCACCTCCAGACACTGATTCAGTAGCTCTGGGGTGGGGACTGAGTTCCTGCATTTCTAACAAGCTCCCAGAGACTGATCTGGGATCACACTTTGTATAAAAAGACCCTACCTGGAGAGCAGCGGTGCTATGTTTCCTTCATGGGTCGAAGAGCATTTCTGGTGCTGGTGGGTTTTGCATGGATGGGTTTTGCATAAACCACACATTTGTAGCAAATTGATTAGGTTTGGAATGGTGAATATTAATTCAGTTTACACAGGGCATTTTCCATTTAGAATATTATTTATCTCCTCAGATAGTGACAGGGACTGCAAACTCATACCGGGGTAACCAGCATAAACAAATGGTAGATGAGAATGTGTCAAAATATGCTGTCATTTCGGAGAGAGAGAGAGAGAGAGAGAGAGAGAGAGTGAAGGCTCACAGGGATTGCATTTGGAAAGGCAGCATTTTACACTTTTCTTCACTTCTTTAGCTGATCTACTGGCCATTGCTGCCTTTCTGTGATGGTTTAATCATTCACTTTGCCATTTGTTTGTCACAAATTTGTATGTCACTCCAGTCAATAATAGCAGCACAAACCTGAACACGGCAGGAAGCCGTCCTGGAGGTCAAGGTGAGCTACAGGCCTGAGTGTAATTAAGTAAGTGTCAAATAAAAGCATGAAGCCAATGAGTCTTGACTTCTCAAAAACTGAAAATACATCACTCAAGAAAGGTCCTGGGAGACAGTTTGGATCAGTGGTTCTCAACCAGCATGACCAACCATCCTGGTCTGCCCAGTATGGTCACAGTTAGAGCTGGGAAATTTCTGCATCCTGGGAGATGCCTCAATCCTGAGGAAACCTGGATGGCTGGTCTCCCTGTTCTCAAGCATGGCTGCACACTGGAACTGCCTAAAGAGCTTTAAGTGCATGCATGCCTGAAATGCACCCACAGAGATTCTGACTTAATTGTCCTGCATGCAGTTTTTAAAAGCTCCCCAGGTGATTCTAATGTGAAGACAAGACTAAGAACTAGAGTAGATAATATATGTTTATTCATTCACGCATTCATTTGCTTATTCACTCATTTATTTATGCATTCAAAGATATTGATTTTGTGCCTCCTCACATGGCTGGTACAACGTCAGTATGAGGACCAAGTTGAATAAGAATCCTTTGTCTTGAGAGCTTGCATTCTAGAGGAGGAAGGAGGCCTGTAATTGAATACACCATCTCATGCAATAATTCATTTATCTGCTGAACAGATATTTATTGAATACCTTCTGTTCCAGGAACTGTTTTGGCATTGAGCATCTAATGGTGAAGAAGACAGCTAAGGTCACCCTCTGCACAGTGCTTACATTCTACTGGTGTTGGGGCGGCATGCAGAAAATAAACAAGTGAACTAATAAACAGTGTACTTTCAGACTGTGTACGTGCTGTGAGGGAACACTGCTGCTCCCAGGGTACGTGGGAGCTGTGTCTATGTAAACAAATCAATGTGGCAGCACCCATTCTGGCTACTCGATCTTGCATGTTCCCATGACAGAGATAGTGTGCCAGCTAGCTGGGCAATCTGGTAACCAGGGTGCCCCCTGAAGTGAAGGCTGGAAATGGAATCACTGGACAACCTCATAGGCACAAGCACAGGGGTTCTTTGGGGCATCTGGTTGACCTCATGTGGGAAACAAAGTATTGGAAAGTGTCCTGAAGTATTGAAATGGGTCTGGAGTCCACATGGGTCCCAGCTTGGGCTCAGGGCATACACCCCTGTGGCCCTGCAGCCATGGCTGGTGCCTGAACTGGGGTGGGTGTGGGACAATAGGACCTTTGAGGAGGAACCTTCAAAGGACCAGTGACCATGATAGTGACCATGGTGGCAGAGGAGCTGCTCCGTGAGAATGAGTGGATGGGAGGCCTGCCTGAGAGTAATGTTTGAACTGAGACCTAAATTGTTGGACCAGTGACCATGATAGTGACCATGGTGGCAGAGGAGCTGCTCTGTGAGAATGAGTGGATGGGAGGCCTGCCTGAGAGTAATGTTTGAACTGAGACCTAAATTGTTAGCAAAGAAAACGTGAAGGATCGGGGAAAACACATTCCAGGAAAGGGAGACATAAGCGCAAAGGCCTGATGTGGGGACGAATGCAAGTGGGGACAAGACATAACAAATATGGTTTTACTGTTTCCTTTTTCTGCAGGAGGCTTGGGAAGATTTAAATGCATGAATGATGACCACATACAGTTTTAAGGGATTAGTTCACTAGACAAATGAGGTGAAGAAAGGCATTCTAGCAAAGGTGACAGACAGTACATGCAAAGAAGGGGGAGAGACGTAGCATCGTGCATTTAGGAAATTCATGGGAAGACATTGAATGGATGTGCTTGGAGCACAGTGTAAGAAGCAGAGTGAGATGAAGCCCACATGCAAAGGCTTGCAAAGGATGTGGAAGAGTTTCCCTTCATCTTCAAGGCGTGGGTCAGCCACTGCAGGACTTCGCCTTAGAAACAATGCAGTCGGATCTGTGTCTTAGAAAAATCACTTTGGTAGCACAGTGCAGAGGATAACTTGGAGGGGCATTGGACTGGCGGGAGGCAGAGTAGTTAGGAAGGTTTTTCAGTATTCTAGGAGAGGGACAATGAGGCCCTGAAGGAGAAGCTGGGATGGAGGGATATTTAGAAAGCAAAATTGACAGCCTTGGGTGACAGATTTAAAGCTGGGAGCAAGGGAGACCAAGTCTAAAGCAATCCCTTAAATTCTTGTTTGGGAGCCTGGGTACCTAATGACCAACTGAGACTGGCAATGCAAGAAAAAACAAGCTTTTTTGAGCAGCAAAATTTCATTCTTGAATATATTGAGCTTGAGGTGCCCATGGTACATCCAGCTGGCAATGATCAGAGGCCTATATGGCAAAGGGGACTTTGCAGATGTGATTAAGTTAAGGACTTTGAGATGGGGAGCTTCTCCTGGATTATCCGGTTGGCCCAGTGCAGTGTAATCACAAGAATCTTATAAGAGGGAGACGAGGGATCAAAGTAGTAGCAGGTGATGTGATGATGAGAGCAAGAGAGCCTGGACTGATGCAAGGAAGGATCTGTGAGCACAGGGATGCAGGCAGTCTCTGGAAGCTGACAAAAGGCAAGGGAATGATTCACCCTTGAATCCTCCAGAAGGAGCACAGCCCTGACCACACCTTAATATTGGACTTCCGACCCTGAGAATTATGAGTCATTGTTTGTTGTTTAAAGCCAAAAAGGTTGTGGTAATTTGTTACAGCAGCAATAGGAAACTAATACAGAGCTATTAAAAATACTATTGTAGGTAGATAGACCACCAAGGAAGAGAGAGAATGGAAATGAGAAAGCAACCATT